CCCCCTCTTCCTCCCCCCGCTTATTATTGCTATCCTTAAGCCGCGAACTACGCATTGGTTCTTATGGGAAAGGCTCGCTCCGGTTATACAGCTCACTGGTTTGTACTTTCTTCGGCTGATGCGAGAGATATCGCGTACGATATCCCTCGTTTCCATAATCGATAATCGAGCCGCTCAACAGGTTTATCCATGCGGCGCTGTCGGAGCGCGTAATTACTCGGATTAGACTGGGACGAAGTGCGTTTTCAGCTCCGCTCGAGTTTACTCGCGGAGCTCAAGGATGTTGGCGGAAAGTGTTACGCTCTTGAAAATATTTTCTAATCACTAACAAAAAAGAGACGGAGCGCGGAAATATGCGCGCGGACGAGGTAAGCGGTGAAAATTCCGGAAAATCCGCTCGTCGCGGATGAACAATTGATCCGTCAGTTTCCGTTCGTAATTTTTCATTTCTACTTCCCGGTGAAACGCGAGAAAATGATTTTTGCAAAACGAGAGCCGGGTGTATGTTACGCAACGCCGAGATGTATTCCGCAGCGCGGTCGACGGTGCAAAAGTGATCCCCGTTTTCCGAAAAAAGGAAACGGGATCACTCGGCACGCTCCGGCACGTGAAGCGGACGGAAACTCCGCGTTCCGGAAATTCCCACCGCAGCAATGTGCGGATCCCGATTTCGTCGCAATACGCCGCAAATCGTCGGGACGATCGCCGCGACGTTAATCACGCCCTCGCGATCGCGCCTCTCGATAACCGGACGACGCGATGGATCGCGAGTCGCAGGAATTTGGATCAAGCGGATCGCTCGCGACGTCGCACGCGCGCTTTCCTGCGGAGAAGGAAACGTGGCGGGCGAGATCTGGGTCGCCGTGACCCTTCTGACGCCTAGATACACGCGTGCGTAGACGCTTAATATGCATACCTCGGCCGATCGGCCCCGCCGGTCGCGTCTCCGGAATGAAGAAGAGCGCGTCCCCCGGGCGGGGCGTGCGTCTCCGGCGGAGGGAAAGTTATGACGGATTTCGAGGCGCGCGCCGCCTTGAAACTCGAAGCGGCTCCTCGTCATCGCGAGGCGACCTCGATTATCGCGGCGGAACAAGTGCGGCGCGCTCGCATTCAGCGATACGCTCGTACGCGCACGGCCGGTTCAATGCACACGGCCTGATGAATAATGCACGAGGAGGTTAAGTAAGATCACGGCTGCCCTCGGGGAGGGCTCGCGATAATTGCGCCGCGCGCGGGGGTTAATTGAATCGATTACTTTGAAAGCGGCACGAATCAATTGCGGCTGGGCCTTCCCCCCTCCCCCCCCTCTGTGGCGAAACCGGTTTTTCCAGCGCGACGCGAAATGCAAACACACACGTCATTGAACGTGACGACGGCGTCCGTCTGCGAAGAAACCGCAAGATTGAGTTACGTAAAAGCGAGAAGTCGAAAAATATCCGCGCGTATCGAACCGTTGTACATTGCGATACGATATAAATCGCGAAAGCAACTGTGTTTGCTCATCCAAGGTAGCGGAACAGCCAGTCGCGGGGATAACGAGATCACAATTAAATCGTTTCGCTATTCCATTTTCTACTTTGTTTTTTTTTTTTTCCGGCGCGATTATTATGTGCACCAATCGTGTTACACAATGCTCGCTAAAAGCGAAAATCGAAATGATATATAATCGGCGCGAGTGGAGAGGTTGTGTGCGTACTTTCTCGCGTTATAATAACGCGCTGGAAAAAGTGGAACCACTTCCGCCTTCCACTCAACTCGCCGAACTCGGGGACAATAGGTCGCTAGATTTTTTCTCACGAAATTACACGTAACGCGCTTCGCCGGGTGTAGCGCTCTTCTCTTTTTTTCCTTTTTTTTTTTTTGTGTAATATCTGAGCTCTCACGTAATGCTGTTACATTGCTCGAGATTCCCAGAGGATACGAAGGCGCTCAGTCCAATTGCCTAATCGTGATAATGCGTTGCTCTCGTTTACTTTTATGACTTTTATGGTTTTAATATTTTTAATGTTCATTACTGCGCGCTTGGAAGCTTGGAACGTCTTATGATTTTTAAATAAATCAGGTACAATTATTTTATTCAAAATATCGATATAACGATCGATTTAAAAATGTATAACAGCGTACGCTATTTGAATGACATTTAATATTAAAAAATGACAAAGTTACTTGTTATTATGAAAAGTATTACAAAGTATTGTTTAATAATAGAAAATAAAATTGATTACATTATTTACGTCTTATATTGCAATGGATTATTAACCGAAATTTAGGCAATGCAAACGCATTGATCGCATTATTAAAATAGCGGTTTAAATATTTTATACGTTATCGCGACTTATCAGATGTTTAATTTCAAACTTTTTAAACTTTAATATTCCACGTGAATCATTCATGACTAAGATGTGTTGTCATCTGTATAATTTAGTTTTTAGTTGAAGAAATCAAATCTCAAAGTTTGACACGCTTAAGAATAAAAATATCATCTTTCTTTTAATTTATCGCTTGATCTTTCCTTTACGTAAGGAAGACGACAGATAGAAACTTTTTTAATCTTACATTTTGCGAGTTATTATCAGCGCCCCGCTTCAAAAAGACTAGGATAGATTTTCTTTCGTGAAATATACTCTTCGCATGCCGTTTGAGATACGACTTTGCTCCGTGCTCGCGTTCGGAAGCGTCGGCTTTCCGGAAGTTTTCCGCGGCGCACTCGCGCACGTCTTTACATCCGTCGATTATATCGAAACGATAGCTTGCGCGGAGGAAGAAGAAAAAAAAACGGAAAACTTTCTCCGCTGTAAGAGGCGCACTCGTTTCTCATACGAAGACCTCTTCGCCTGCGGTCTCGTTGTTGCACGTACCTCGCACGCCACCGGCGCGGCACGCAAAGGCGGATTTTCGCGTGAGACGGGAAAAACTCGTCGAGCACGAGCGGCTTCTTTCACAGGTTGCGCGTAATGCGAGAGCACTAACGAACACGTAGCGAATTTATTCCCGCCGCGTTTCGCCGCGCCGAAAACTTGGCGGGTCTCACGTAGGTTTCAGAAATTACGTTTCTTGGTGCGCGCGAGGTCCACCTTTCGGCCGTCAAGGCTTCGATCGACCGAACGAAATCGGAAGCGCGCCACTTTAGACGGCGCCACTGAAGCGGTCGTATGTTTTGGCGAGACTTGTTTAGCGAAATGGTTATGTAAAATAAAATCTGAAATTTAAAACACCAGCTGTTGCCTTTTCGAAAACGAAATAAGAATTCGAAAGTTTTCGCAAGGGTTTCGCGAAGTGTACAATTTAACACGAGTATCGCGAAGAGAGATCACATTTGACCTTTCTAATTTTCTCCGCGTCGCGTATGCGATGTTATGGATTGTATCGAATCTCTGGAATTTCGGAAATCGTTTGCTAACATCTCGAAAGTTGTACAATTAATATTGTGTGTTTTTCTTTCCTTTTAAATTATTTCGTCTTCTTTTGTTGAAAAGCACTGGAAGAGTCATTTGTAGAATGTCGATTTCGTCGTACTAAAATTTATTGCAAAAAGATGTCAATGAAAAGACGAAATAACGTCAAAATAAAATCTTAATCCTAGTAGCTTGAATTTTTATCTCAACACGGCTTGCGCACGCACTTAGAATGAAGTTCAGAAAAAATATTGGAAATCTGACGAATGACACAAATTTCGATAACTGCTAGATCGATCATTGGAAAGTTATATTATGCAAATATCCGTGTCACACCATTAATTCGAGTAATAACTGACACTGTTACGTGACTGTTCTAGCGCACAGCGGCATAAGTATGATTAATATACAGCGTGCGATCGGCACGAAGCAGACGCCGCGTGCGTTCGGAAAAGATATTATATTTTCTACTCGTCCCGAGACGCGATAATGATTTTAAAACGCGGCAGATTCGACTTATGAAAGCGACGATCGACGCGGCCGCGGCCTGAATACGAGAAATGAAATTGTTGCTTTTCACTCTCCTTCTTTTCTCTCTCTCTTCTCTCTCTCTCTCTCTCTCTCTCTCTCTCTCTCTCTCTCTCTCTCTCTCTCTCTCTCTCTCTCTCTCTCTCTCTCTCTCTTTCTCTTCGTTCGTCATTCGTCGCGATGGGATAATATTCTGCGGTCGCGTAATAGAAAGTAGTGCTCGGAAATCAATTCGCGCAGCGGCAGGAGAGAAGCGGGTCAGCTAGCCGGCGCTAGCGGCGACGTTAAATTTGGTATTGCGGCGTATTCGGCCGCATGAATTTTGAATTCGGCGGAATAATCGGCAAATCGATTCCGCCAGCGTGCCGTCCGGTCGTTAGCGCCTCGACGGGCACCGGTTCATTCGGAACTGCGCGCAGGGACGACCGGCCGCGATGCTACGAGCGCGCGCGCGCGGATCTCTCGCGCGCGCGGTGTCCTATTTCTTCGCTCGAGCTCGTTTAACTCGCTCGCTCGTTCACGCGATTTTACATTGCAAAAATTGAGCGTTACGCTCGCGGGCCGCAATCGCGCGGACCGTATACGGCATTCGATAACAAAGTGAACCGGGCAACAAACATATTTTCTCATTCCCCGCTGCCTCGTCTCTATTTCACGGCAAATTACTCGTTAGCTTTCAACGGGCGGAGAGAAAAAAGAAAAAGAAAAAAAAAAACAATCACGAGGTTTTTCGCGTAATCGCAACAA